CAACAAGCTGAAGTCAGGAGAGACCCAGCAGGAAGCGGGGAGGTGCGTGGAGTCTTCATACCTGTCACGGCAGGAGGCTCTTGGCTTTCTGCTGGCACGGTGAGAGACTTCAAGGCGTTGCAAGCATTGACGATTTCCTGCATCTGGAGGAAGCCTGCAACTGCGAGCACATCCTCTACGTTCTCAGGGCTGAGGCTCAGCTTCGCCGTGTACATGAACTCCAGGACCTGGCCGAGGCCTGCGGAAGGAGAGAGCCAGGGGCAAAACAACCCCCGGGGCCAAGATGAGTGGCCACTGACAGAGCAGATGAAGAGGCCAGCATCTTAGAGGCTGCATCCTTTAACCCCACGTACACAGAAATCACTCAGACTTCTCCCACACTTCATTTCTAGGTGAGAGCAACGAACAACAACCCCTCGGCTGAACTACTTCTTCTTCCTACTAATCTAGCAATGGGGAGATGCATAATTTTTGCAGGCTGACATGAGCGTGCTATGGGATTTAGCCAGGACGAATGATTAATCATGTATTATTTATTTCTTTTTTCATGTGACATATGCTAGCAAAGGTCACAGCTGCTTACAGCAAGAGAAACAGAGCAACTTAAAAGGGCAGCTAGCAAAAAATAAAATCCTCAAGTCAAGCAGAGGCCCACGACAACATCTTGGCCTTGCTTTGGTTGTTCAGCGCCTGCCCAAACAGAAGGGCCCTGCAGTGCTTCTGAATGGTGTCCAGGCCCAGGCTCTGGCAGCCTCATGAGAAGGAAGGATTTCCAGAGCTGAGGAGCAGCTGCTGAGAATGACTTCCCATGCACCATCACTAAGGTGTTTGCAGGAGTGGTGCTTGGCTGCCCTTAGGGACCGCGACAGGGGGTGAGGGAGAAGGCAGTCAGGCCACTTAGGGTCTTCTGGTCAAAACCAATGCCTTGATTTGAGCCTGGCCAAAACCACCAGACTGGGTGTGGGGAGAAGGGGTTCAGTATGTAACACCAGTACAGACCCCAGGTACAACCCTAAGCCATTATTTCATCTCCTTGTGCTATCAGTTCCCATCTGTAAGATAGGCATGAGGGCTCCTCTTTCCTCCCACTTGTTGTCTCTTGTCTAGAAGCTCTTTGGGGCAGGGGCTGCTGCCCATACTAGTAAATTCTTTCCACCATTTCTGAGTAAACGCTAGAAGAAGAGTGCAGTGATTAATGCCCTGTTCTGCTAATGCTGTTAACTTTCAGATGCAATGAGCAGCATTCTCATCACCCACTCCACGTTCCCAGAGGGAGGAGACGTTTATATGGATAACTGGGATATCTGGGGTCAGGGCTGTGGACACGAACAGCTGTGGAAGAGAGAAAAGCCCCATACTTCAGAGTATAAGACAATCTCTGTCTATTTGTAGAAGAACGTAACAAGGCTTGATTGTCCTGCTGCAGGATGCTCATGCCATCATTGGGGCTGGTGCTCTCCGATACTGGAAGGTCTTCAGGCTCAAGCCAGCCTGTCCATAGGTTCAGGAGAGCTGTCACCATCTCCATTTTGGCCTCACTGTTCTCTAGGCCGTAAGGAACATTTTAAACCAGACTCTAAGCTAGTACAAACTGGCCCAGCTCCACTGACATCCATGGGGCTATGTAGATTTACACTGGCTGAGAACGCAGCCTGTTGCTCAGCTCCGTGGCTGCAGCCCTGGCCTCTCCCCGCCTACCTGCTGCATTGCTGATGTCCAGGTGCACCACGTCCTTCTGATCCACAAAGAGCATCCTGAAGTACTCGCTGCAGGCTGCCAGCACCGCCTTGTGAGCCTTGAAGTCAATGCCGTCCACCACGAAGGTGCAGTCGCACAGCAGGCCCAGCTGCCTCTGCTGGTTCAGCTGCTCCAGGACCTGCTTGCTGTGATGGGGGAAATCCATAGCTGAGGAGAGAAAGCAAAGCCATGTGGGCACGGCTGGACCTAGGACTTTGCAAAGAGGGGGAGCAGATAGCGAAGTGCATTCACAAACACCCTAACGTGGCACAAGTAAAGCAGGGGTATGAGGGCACTGCCAATGCCCAACCACCGCAAGGGGAGGAGGTTGTTGTTAGGATATATTCAGAAGATCCAAAGGACTGTAATACCGATCTATATCTTAAAGAAAAAAATCCTTGTAAATAATTCACACCCATCATGCTGTGCATCCAGGTAGCCTATGTAACTGCATGCACTTCATCTCCTCCCTCCAAGCGAGTCTCTATGGCTGCATCTAAAACCTGCATTAGAAGAACCCTGCGTTTTCCAAATCATGCACTCAGGAGCTAGGAAGGGCCTGATTTAAGGTTGCCCATGAGAAATCATTTCAAGCCCCGTGCTCGCAGTCATTAATCACAGGACCCCAGGGCCTGAGCACAAGGGCGGCAATTATATTTGCTCCTGATTCAACGTGTGGTGCTCGGCTTTCTGTAGTCCACCCCCGTACACCGAATATGAAATCCTGGGCACTCCTATGACATATTCACAGAGACGCCCCTTTGAGAAAAGGCAGTGCCGCTCTGCTGCTGTATGCCTGCGGTTCTGAGGCGCAGAGAGATCGTTTTCCAACGACTGGACAAAACTCTTAAGTGCGCTTTAACTGTTCAATTTGTGAAGTCCAGGGACTGATTTTTCCCACCCCCCAAAAACTGTTCCATGTTTTTACAGTACTTTATAGAGGTCTTGCAGCACAGCCCCAATTGACTCTGGTTGCAGTGGGAGGCTCTCTGCACTTCTGCGAGTCTAGCCCCCGAAATCTCACGGCCTCTGGTGCTAAAACCCTTTCTTTGGGTCCAGTCCTTACTGTCCCCAGAACGGAGCAGGAGAAACAGCATCAAGGCCCACAGCTACTGAGCAGGTGGTACAGGGAATCCTCCGTCTCCTTGCATGCAGTCCCAAACTTGAGAGGGTTTCAGCTACCCCAACCACGCTGCCTCACGCAGCAGATAAGCTTTAAGGAGCAGTCACCCGAGCTGATCGTTATGCTACAGAGCAGATGAACACCTAGCAATATCCCAAGCAGCCCAAGGTTGGGGGCAGGGAGGTTGGTGTTGGAGTACGTGGCTTGTCTTTAAATAACTTGCAGAAGCAATTCTTGCAGAGAGAGGTGTTTTTAGCAGAGGCAAATGCAAAGGGGAAAACTCCGCCTCGGCTAAGTAGGGCTGAGTGCTGTAGCAATCAAAGTGCATCACCAGGTTTCAGCTTCCATCTTGCAGCTGCATGGCAGAGCTAGCATAAAAGCCACTTGGGTGCATGGGGCTGACTGTGATGGAAGGACTGGCCTTAAAACTTACACAGGTTGGACAAAAAGAAAGTCTCCAAAGGACCTGGCGTGTGCTTCTGGAGTTGGAGAATTATACTGTAGGATATGCTTCTGCGTGCAATGCCATGCTCAAAGTCCCTATCCCTCTCCTGTTACTCCTAACCCTTAGCAAACTGAAGAAGCATATGCTGACCTTTTCAGGAAAGCTGTGAAAAAAACACCCCAGGAGTCACTCCATGCTTTTTCCAAAAGGAAGGATACTTGTAGGAGAGAGAGAGAGACACTTGCTCTCCTGAGCTCATCTGCTCACATCGTCCATTCACCACCTGAAGTCATAACCCCGTTTGCGAATCACTCCCCCAGCAGCAAACTGCATTCCTACAGGCTCAGCTCATGGGTTCAAATGAGCAAGGCACATATGCATGCTTAACAATGAATACATCAAAGACTTTGCATTCATACTCAAGCCTCTGTTCATAAAAGACTGGGGAAGAGAGGTAGGAAATTCAAGGTTTTCCAACCAAAACTCACAGAAGCAAATTAGATAAATCCTGTGGAATGATAAAAGCTCAGAATGAAAGACACCAGTAACGTTCAACACACAGTTAAGGTACGTGGAGATCAGTTCGTACGGTGCGTTGGTGGATTTAATAAAGAGGATCGGGTCTGAACAACGTCCCTAGAAGAACCCAACGTTGTCCTTTCTAGCTCCTACCCAGAGGGACCCGAATGAAGAACGTGTGAGCAGACCACGTGGGGAAAGTGTCTTATTTCCAAATTCAAAAAACCAGCTCGACCAAATTGAACTGTTTTGCAAAAAAAAAAAATCTTCCTCTCTGGGCCCAGCCCCCAAATCAGATCATTTTAGGCCTGGTTCAGAAAACTGCTCTGGGGCGAGTGAAGCGCGTGGGAAGAGTCAGGAAGAGAGGCCCCGAGATGAGTTAAGAAGAGTCGCACGCATTTAGCCCTAACGATACTGCAAGTGGCCGCTGTCCTCAGCCAGAGATCTCAGCCGACCAAGCTGCGGGCAACACGGGGTAGGACAAAGTTGCTAAGAGAAGTCGGTTCATTTTTCAAGTGCAAGACAGGGGCTGTCTACACCACCCTGAGCAGTGCCCCAGAGCATCTCTGTGAAAACCCCCTCCTGCTCCGCTGTGCCAAGTCCTGGTACCTCACCCTGGCACACAGCCAGTGCCACTCAAAAGGCAGTGACCTGGCATTTTTTTGGCATGCATTTGCTGGGAACGGGCAGGAGCGGATGGACTTTCACTGCAACACCCCTCAGCACTGTCAGCTGTGATAAAGACATGCCCTTGGACTTGTAAAACCCGCTTATTCCAAGAAGAGACAAGAGAAACAGGGACAGCAAGGCTGAGAAGTGGTCGGCGGCTTTTGGGCATGACGACTGCTGATGACGCGCTTTTGAGACCGGGGTGCCAGCAGAGCGGGACCGCTATATAAAGCAGCCGTGAAGCAACACCGCAAGGAACCACGACCCCGAGGAGTGCAGATCGCTTCCCAATTCCCTGCAACTTCCTTTCTCTCTTGCTCCCCAAAGGGTCTTGGAGCCGCAGAAAGAGATCAGAGCAGCCGGGGTGGATCTGGTGAGCAGTTCTCAGGCAGCGACGCGTGCACCAAGCAGCACAGAAAGCTGTCCTCTGCGCAGCGCTTTTCCCGAGTGAGATGGTCACTTCCCAGGCTCTCAGCATCCCAGGCCGCTCTCGAGTCCCCGGCTGAGCGGTGTGCCTAGCACCTACCCTCCGACAGCTAGAGAGGCTGATACAGAGGGAGCTGTTGGACTCTGTGGGTTTGAAGAGATGTGGGCAGCTACAAACATGCTGGTGAATGCAGACGGGTAATACATGACCCGGGCAGAGTGCTACACACGGGGACAGCCCGCAGCAATAGCCTCTCATCCTGAAATGACTCAGACGTAGGAAGAGCAGCCCTGAATGTAGGTAGGAGGCGATCTGCTCGCTCGCACACGATCATATATTCACTGGTTTCCATGGCACCAGGTTGGCGGGGTGCCCGGGGCAGACAGGAAAGCAAGAGGTGGAGGCTCTGAGCTCAGCTTCTAACCCAAAATGCAAGCCTGAGCTTTAATGCAAAAATCTCTCCGAGCTGTCCGGGCAGGCTCCGTCTTGTTTACTCACGGCACTCAGGCGCGGAGAGATGCGTCTTTCTGCTGCACAAATGCCCCTCGTGTCCTTTGGCTTTTCTGTGCCCGCAATCCTAGCGTGCAACCTGCTGCTCGGGCAGGCTAGAGGCTGCAGGCAGCGAGTACAGCTGACAGAGCGTGCCTGAATAAGCTATGAGACTGGCCATCCCGGGCTCAAAAAATGCACCGAGGCCAGGGCCAGCAGCACCTGGAAACATATAGAGAAAGAAAAGGAGATGGCCTCATTAGCGAGGGACCAGTGCCTCCCTACACTGGTGTTTAGGGGCCGGGCTGCAGTACTGAAGGGGAAGGTGGCTACGTTTTGGTAACCTGCAATGGAGCGGATCGGGGCTCCCCCGAGTGCTAGGCTATCAAGCAATAATTGGACCCAGAGAGATCAGGGTACGTGTGTGTTGTGACAGCGCCTGGCTGGCTTTAAAGAGCTTTGTCATTTTGTGCTGAGGTTAAACACTGCTGTATTTAACATGCATCTGCTGTGCCTCACCGCCGAGCTGATGTGATTCTTGTGATCTTGGAGTCTTCCTTTCCAGCACGCTGCGATGTAACCTTTTCAAAAATTCACAGACCCCACGGTAGCAATTTGCTGCAGGACTTTCAAGGATTTATTAAGGTTACAGTACCAATGAAGCTCAAGAGCGATAATGAGCAGGGAAAGTCAGATGGGTTATAATTAGAGAGAAGACAACAAGTTCCTCTGGCAGGCTGTGATCCACGAGGCTCGGCCAGCGGAAGAGCCCTCCCCTTAGCATTAAGCTGTGAAATGCTGATGCTAACCTCGGTTTTCTCCTGCCAGGAGAAATCAAGATAGTTTCTGTGGCTCGTCCGCAGCCGTCAGAGGATCACGCAGCACGGGCTGAAGGCATTAATCCAGACTGCTAAACCTGAGCACCAAAAAGGGAAGGCTGTTGGCTTTCCACCCACGCGCTCTTTCAAGTTGCCTTCTGTACTCGGAGATGCTTTTCCCTTCAAATACTTGGTTAAGCCCTTCTGAACCGCGCTGACACGAGAGGTTTTGCTCCTGGTAATAATATCACCAGCACACTGCAGTACTACGAGAACCGTTTATCTCTGCCTCTCTCTCAAAAACTTTCAGCCAGCGGTAGATAGCCCTGAAGAGGTCTCAGCTTTACACATGGAGACGCGCTGGGATCTCAAGTGACTTGTGACCCTGGGCAGGATCCACGATGGAAGATCTGGTTCTGGGGTTCAACCACTACACCATCCCTCCTCCGACGGAACATATTCCTGTAATGACACTTGGTAATTAATGGTTTAGAAATAACTTCCACCTCTTTCACTCAGGCTGCTTGTATCCAGCGTTCCCCAGCCCTTTGCAGGTACAAAGTTAACTTAAATCTGAAATGGGAGTCGCTGTGATTAATGCAGTGGTTCAGCGCGGCCTATTCGGCTTCATGGGGCTGCCTGCATTGCAGGAGAGATCAGGAGGGATCCCCATGCCACTCTGCCTTTGCCAGCATGCTGTTGAGGTTTCAGCCTTAACAGAACAAGTCTCCGAAAAGCCCGAGGACCTGGTGATCCTGTATGAAGCAGGAGCTGCTGCCTTCCCTTTTCCAGCTTGCCACGTATCCCAGGAGCAAGTCTGATCTGAGCACCCACCCCTGACATATTCCACCAAGACCTTGCTAGCACGCGCTGCTTGGACTCATAAAAAACCCATGTTCTCCGATATCCTTCCAGGCTGTTATATTCCCCCAGGTAATACAGCCACATGCTTACACTTGCACAACGGGCAATGTGCAGGTTCATTTCAGTCACAGCTCCTTTTGTTACTTCTTTAGAGAAAACTCTCTCTCTTTGCTGGACGCTATCTCCTTTTTGTGATGAGCTAGCTTCTTGCACTGCAACCTGCCGTTACTATAGAGGCAAATATTCCTCCACTCCCATCAGTCTGGTGTTCTCATTACAAAGGATGGAAATTTCCACCAGAAACTGTGAAGTCATGGAGCTGAAGTTCAAGCACATGCTATTTTATTCTGAAGTAATGAATCCCACAAAGCTCCATTACAGCATTCGTTTCCTTTGGGCTCTCAAGACCCCTGCATCAGACTGTCTCAGACCTGGACTTGGCACAGTGCGATGCATTTAAACGACTGCCCTTGTCTCTGCACCTCATTTGCACTTCTTCAGCTGCAATGTGATTTCTTCATGTCCTGGATCTTCTCTCTCTGCTCCTAAACACCAGCAATGCATTGGCTTTGCCTAATTTAGCTGATCCTCCAAAGGTTTCCAAGATGACAGTACACACAGACATATATAGCATGAAGGCAGCCCTGTAATAAGCTGGATAAAATACCTGTAAATACCTGGATGCCTGTAACAAGCCACGCTTATGGCTCCTCCCTGCCTCACCTGCACTATGACCAACACCACCCCTTCCTTGGAAGCACTTAGAGTATTTCAATCCCCGCAGCGGACGCCACATCTCTTTAAAATTAGTTTTCCACCAAGATGTTTCCATCTTCTCTCCGAAATGTGGGCGAGTTTCCTTTACTGACACCCTGCGCCCTTTCAAAATTATGCTGACCCAGGGCCAGCACAAGCAATGCTGAGTGTAAGACCAGCAACAGGCTGAATGCCCAACTTGATCTGAGCCTACAAGGTTTGAAACGGGAGATTTTACCACTGGAAAAAAAGAGAGAATCCCTTTCCACGCAGAGAAATAAGCAACAGCTTCCAGCTCTGGTGCTCAGAGATGGGACTTCAAAATCATGGTACTTTTAGACAGCAGAAGCTCGTTGTAAGTAAATGTTAGAAGCTATTTTGCACGTGAACCATGAGCCTTGTGCAATTGGACTCTGGGTTATTAAGGTATCTCAGCTTTATAAAATAAAGTAGTACAAGAAGCAGTTCTGCCCATCAACAAAAAAAAGTTGTAAAGATTTTCTACAGTGTTTGTTTTTCCAAGCATTAGGCGGCTTAGACAGCACTACCATGCAGTCTGCGTACGAAGGATTTTATTAGTTCCAGGTTAGGGTGACATGCATTACGCTCTTAAATTATAATTTCATGTTCCGTCAATCAAAAGGCACCTCGTATTCTCCATCTCTGTCAAAGGGGTAGAGATTTTCTTAGAAGTCTTAAAACATGATCAGACAACAATACAGAAATCTGCTTGCTAAAATTCCTCAGAGCCCGGTGGGAACCGACTATTACTAACTGAAATCAGGTTATTGGCCCGCACTTCAGGAATTACATCAACATGCTTGCAAGTTCGTAAATATTTTTACCTTTTTTTCCATGAACAAACATCCCCCAAATCCCAGAGTCAGTGGCAGAGATAAGAGCAGTACCCCAGTCTCTCAGTTCGCAGTCCTGGATCTTCTGCTTTGGACCATGCTGCCCTCTTGAATGTCAAGGAGACCTTCTCATCAGGGTTTACTTCCTACGGAACAATTGTTCTATTCATCAGCCAGGCTTATCAGAGGGTCCAGAGTTACTAGAAAAAACCAATTTTAGCATGGCTTTATATTCAAAGGTGATGACTTGCAGATATGCAGTGCCGTTGTGGATTATTGACACGGCTAAAAGATGGGTTTAGTTTAAAATTACACAAAAAAGGGAAAAATAACAGCTCTGGGAAATGCTGGATACATCATTACTGTTAGGTACAATAAGGTGACTAATGCCCATGCCTTTCTCCTGGTGGGGTTCGTCACACCTGACTTGGAAGGCAGATGTCCAGAAAAGCTGGTGACAAGACTAGAGTAATACAACTGCTTTGGTTTGGTCAACTGATCTTTTACAATGTTTTACTTTATTTTGTCTTTCAGATTCTATAACGAATGTGAGGCTGCTGGAACAGCAGCCAGATCCAGTTGATGCCACACTGGTGAACAGTGATATTTTTACCAGGCTACTCGAGCTCAGACCAGCAGCTTACTTAAGCAGATCACCTCCTGTCTAACAACATGCTACTTGCTCTCAGTGAACTGGATACTTATTTCTATGATGCAGCTTTAAAGAATAAATAGCAATAAACAGTAAAAACACACTAATGGCCCAGTGGTGAATGGCTTGGGCCCAACAGCATGCTTCGCCACAGACTCACTGGGCGACCTTGTGCAAGTCACTTAGCTTCTCCAGTTCAGTTTTCCGGTCTGTACGAGGGAGGCGAAAGCATTACTCAGCTTCTGAGCAGCATTGTGAGGATAGTACATTAAGCATTGGAAAGTGCTCAAACAGCATGGTAATAAGGGCCATATACGAGGGAGAGGCCACAGAACTATGCACTTCCAAGTAGCTCTGGACATCTCCTCTCCCACCGAGGTCAGAATCAGAAGGCTTGGCCATCTGCGATAAACTCAATAAAACATTGCCTTTTAGAAGTCCATTCTTAGCATCTGATGAAATAGGCTCATCTATGAAGGTTCATGCCTCGCTGAACCAGTTAGTCTCCAAGGTGACAACCTGCCTGACTTCAGGCAAACATGAAGTCGGGTCTGCTAATAGGTTAGACAATGTATTTGTATAGGACGGTTTGTATAGGGGGTCAGACAGGGGTTGGACTAGGTGTGACCTTTGGAGGTCCCTTCCAGCTCTACTTTTCTATGATTATCTTAACAGCAAAATATAAAACCATTATTCCCAAATCAACCCATTGCCTACCAAGGACAAGTGAGCTGGTTTGCATGTACAGATCTCACTGTCTCTTCTACTCTGGTTCTTAGGCTGTGCCCATCAAAGTGGTATCTAGGCTAAAATAAAGAGTGAGGTAGCTCACACTCAGGAATGAAGCCAAGCTACTAGAGTGACAGCGCTCTGAACTGTACCCTCTCGACAACATACCTGTGCTGCTCTCCCTCTCAATCTCTTGCTGACAGGATTTTTTTATTACCGTTTCAATCACCGTGATGGAAAGCTTAGCATGAGACACCTTCTGTAGTGATGGCACAGCAGCAGTGGGACTGTGGGATCATATGCCTAGGGACATTCGAGTGGTGATCCTTGTTAGCGAGGTTACGCAGCAAACAAATGACACATTTTTTTGGAGTGTTTCAGCCCTGAATTTATGCTTCGTAGTTAAATGTTAATAATTTTCAAAGGACCATAACCTTCATTTTTTTTAAATCTGGTAATTGACATTAGAAATTAGATTAGGATGGTCAAGCCAGTCTGATCTCGCAGTCTGGCTAGTACAGCACACTTCAGAGGAAAGCAGTCTCCATAACCAACAACTACAGAACAGCTTGCTAACAGACATTTCTTTCTAATCCTCGGTAACTTAAGACCGGCTTCGGTATCTTGAAGCACAAGGTTTTATACCCACCCTCTCTTATTTTATCAGTTCATATATAACCAAAGAGGATAATGTTATCCATGCACGTTTAACCTGTTTAAAATTTGTTAAGATTTTGGCTTTGATGTAGCCAAAATGACAATGAGTTCCACAAGCTGACATACCGCATATAAAAAGTTTCCTTCTATCACTTTTAAATTTGTTGTTTTTCAATGTCACTGAACTCCCGCTGGCTCGGGTACTGAAAGGATACAAAGCCACAGACGACTTACTTTCTGTTTATGGTCATTTTCCCTTTTAGTGCACCAACTCCATGCCCCAGAAGGATCCTAATCTTTGCAGACAGATCCTAATCTTGGCAGTCTCTGCAGACAGAAATCTTTCCCTGCTTCCAACTAATTTTGCCGCTGGTCCCTACATGCCTTCAATTTTTGCCAAATTTTTTGACAGGCAACGTGTACTGAACTCAGCTTTCTAGGTTAGAACGTGTCATTAATTTGCATCACTGCATCATCATACTTTTAGTAGAGGCAGTCCTCGACTTACAATGTTTCGAGTTACAACGTTTCGCACTTACAGCATTTCTAAACGGACACCGTTTCAACTTTCTGACATCAGTTTCCACTTTACAACGCTTGATGCGCTGTGACACCACGCCAGCGAACAAGTCGCTGTCACTCATCTCCCTGGAGAACATCTGTCCAAACTTCCTTGGACACTTTCTTTAAGAAAGCAGACTAGACTCTAGAAAAACCTGCAGCTAGGACTCCTGAGACAAATCTAGCCAAGAACCCTTCAAAAAGTCCAGCAAAGTCACCTCAAAGAAGTCCTTCCAAAGCAATATGATTGATAAATACATTAATGTAGCTATATTACTCATCTATAATTATCTGAGTACAAAATTCTGGGTTATTTTTGGTGAAAACGGGGTATCGGGCCTTGGTTCAGGAACTAATCCCCCATTTATAACATTGTTTCCTATGGGAAAAATCGGTTCCGAGTTGCAACGTTTCAACTTAAGGCGCCGTTTTCAGGAACCGATTGTGTCGTAAGTCCGAGGGCTGCCTGTACTCTCTACCGTACTCCTTACGCATCCCGACAGGCTTGGCTCTTTTGGCTTGTCACCGTGCACTGACATAGCAGATGTTTTTCCTGAGCGGTCTACAGTGATCCCCAGCCCCAAGCAGCTGCTATTTTGAGGGGCATGTTGCAGAGATGTGAAAAGAAAACAGTATTATGTGGTCAGCAGTGAAAATGAAGTGATGTCTTTCATGTTCTACCTCAGTGCATGTAACATGTCATGTTAAGTGATGAACCGTGACAGGCAATGAAACTATTGGTAGGAAAGGATCTAATGAACAAAGACCCGCAGAGGTGCACCGTCTTCTCCCTGCACAAATCCCAGTCACTGAGAAGACACTTCCGTTGTGTGTTTGTACCCTAAAGCAGGGTCTGGGCAAAAGCTCTGGTTTGAATGGGCTTTTGCAGCCTGGGGAAGCAGGAAGACGAGGGCTCAGACACCCCCAAGGTTATCTCACACATTGAGACGTCTCACTCCTGTTTCTCATATCAGGCTCTAGCTGCTGAGGTTTCATACTTGGGGTAGTAGATATCTGACAGTTTACAACCCCTGCCATGAGGATCCACTCCCACGTGATTAACATGTGACACGTTGGCTGTGAAAGTGCCCAGTGTACAACCTACAAGTGGTTAGACGCTGATAATTCCCGGCCATAAAATGTCGTAGGAATCAAAGGGCTTGCCTGACTGCGGGACAACAAAGTGCCGGTCCTGGCTAGCGAGGCAGCACTAGAAAAGCCCTGGAAGCTGCTTGATTCTCACCCTGCTCTCACAAGCATCACCTCTCTGACAAGACCCGTAAGCAGCTCAGACACATCCTGACTTCAGAGGTGCCGAAGAGCTGCTATTTCTGTGTCTCGGTAAGAAACGCTCCTTACCATGGGAGCTTCCAGAGCGCTACGTTCAGCAAACCGGTTGCAATTAGCCTTCGATTCCTCCTACAGACACAGGTGAGGAGGTGACGACGTGTCAGGCGTTGGAAAGACCCCCAGCGACATTAGGGAAAGTCACAATTCGGGCTCAAAGAGATCGGCAAAGAAACGCGCTTTACGGATTCGACTCTGCCACCAACTGCGCGGCACCATCCATCAAACTAAGCCAACACGAACTTCTGTAACACCGAGCTTTACTCATAAAACACATGCAGATCGGCTCCGATGCGTCATCGACACAACAGTACGATCTATTTATTTCTACAAAACGCCTCTCCGGCATCCAGGTGCTGCACTAACACCAACGTACTTAAAATGACACATGATACCAAAAAAAACAAATGATACATATATAAATAAATACAACCTAGGGTTCCTCTGCTTTGCCCGGGGAGCTGCTTTTCGAGCGGTGGCTCTCAACCTTTTTTTGCAAAGGGGTTCGGGTTTTGTCGCGGGACCCGTTCGTAAACATCGACGGCCAGTCCCGAACCCAGGCCCTGCAGCGCGAAGGGCACGAGGGGCACGGGGGGGGGGTCCCGAGCTGCCCCTTGCAAGCTGGAGCACGTGGGAAACCCCACGCTTTTCTCCTTTAAAGGAGAATCGCGTTGAAAGTTTGCTCGCGACCCGTCACGTACGAGCCACACGGTGAGAAATGCCGCCGTACGGGATGCCCCGACGCTTTCCCGGCGCGTCGAGACGAGGCAGACGCTCAGCAGACGGGACGCGCCGATTCCCACGGGGAACAAAACGGGGCCGCGGAGGAGCGGGGGCAGAGGGGTGCGGCGCGGATCCGCCGCCGACGGCCCAGCGGACGCCCCACGGCTCCAGGGGGGCTGCGGGAGGGGGGGTCCCCGCCATCG